TTATATTGAACAACCTCAAGGATGCTTTGTCCAAGTCTTAAATGAAAAGGACAACAGGAAGGTGGCTCTTCTAATGTGTCAAAGTATTGTGGACAAAATGAACTAGGGCACTGAGAGGACCACAGGGCCTTTTACCAGAATTTTTTACCAGTCCAGCCTTGTAGCAGGACATTGTTCATACAGGATTCAATATGAAACTCAACCTACTTACCAAATGCTGATGAATACAATCACAGTGCAAAGCAAGCAAACCAATATTTATCGAACAACTCAAATAAATTTTAAACGTTAATTACTCCAGATGAGCAGTTCATACTGTACAGTAATGCTTTATCACAAGTGAGGCTAATGTTGGTTAACAGAAACTCAAGACCAACTCGATCTATAAACAAAAACAGGTCAAGCTCAAAATTTTATCACAGGCTCCCTAAAATTTTGACTTTCAACCTACTAATGTGAAGTTCCATACACCTTGCAATTCCTCTAACAGTAGGAATTGGAGATTTCAAACTGCAGGCTCATACCATGTTAGAAAAGCATTGAACTCCAAGAGCTTAAGTTGTTGAGGGGTGGGCCAACAATGTATACTACGAGGCAACAATTTTCCGGTTTTTCTACTGATAAAAAATAAGGACAATAAAGTAACAACTCAGAACAAAAATAAAAAAATCTAAGCTACGCTCCATAGAACCATCTTAACTCATTCTTCTCTGTGATTCTATCCGTGGATGCAAGGGTGCATACGTTAGGCAAAGGGATACTATTCTAAGCCGAAAAGTACATCCTGGAAGTGCATGTATTTCTATTAAACATGCCATATCACCTTACCTCAAGCTTTTTCTTCTTGTATATAACCGAGTATCCATATTTTGCCAACTCAGGTTTGAGGAAATTCTCAAAATGATCTTTCTGTACCTGCCCATAGATGAGGAAAAGTATAAAAACTAAAACAGTCTTGGGCAATGATCTCATAAAAACATATGCGTTTAAGAACTAGTAGTTACCTCTTGAAGACAGAGGATATCTGCGTCATATTCAATGATCTCATAAAGTAAATTTTGCAGACGATATTCCCATGAAAGAGCCCAATCTGGGCAGTAAAAGTGCCAGTTACTACCACTAGTAGCAAGATAATCAGCGAGGATATTATAGGACAGTACCCTAAAGGTTACATCGTTAGAAGAGTGTTCTTTGAGGTCAGCGTTGCAAGAGTTCCACATTGTACAACGCGGTGGATGAGGAGGAGGATAAATCACAGGATCCGTCACTTTGATTCTTGCTGGGAACAATTGTGTAAACTTTGAAGAATCAAAAACTTCAAATTTGAGCCACAGACAAAATCCAATATCATTCTCTGTGGGTACATAATATTCAGAAGAACCCACCTCAATCCATGTTTTTCCATCTTGTTCCACTGTCTCATCAGGCTGCGAACCATCATCCTGATAGTAAGGTAAATCAGGATAGGAGCCATAAGGCCCAAAACTCTTGATAATTTTCACTGCTTGTGGATCAGGATTTGGAGCTGCAAAATGATGGTGCACCTTGTGCTTGTCCCAGGCAGCCTTATAGCAACTTATAGAGCAATAGTAACTTATCTTGCCAAGTCGATTTTGACTTGCACAAACTGTACACTGAATTGTGGCCAGCTCTTCATGGTGGACAAAACAGCGAACCTTCTCTTGATTGGGAGACAAGCAAACATCCTCTCGGTACCTACATATATAATAATGAGAGATTTTAGTAAGACTACTTATGATAACAGCAGTACTACCGTGTATTGGAACTAGTATTGAACAGGAACCCGCCGTAACAGGTTCTGCGATTCAACGTACACCATTTCACGTTGGATGCACAAAAAACTCCATACATCTTGTTTTATATTGTTTCAAAATAAACCGTCTTCTACTTCATTTGCAGGAGGAATTATTTTGGGTACAACAAAATTATTGTTATTACTAAGTTGTTGTTACTTAAAATGTTTTTCTATAATTCTTCCTAATAGACCATCTTTTACTTCATATAGTTATTATTCTTGTTATTTTGTGTTGTTATTGTTCTTCTCAATATTGTTGTTATTTTTATTGTTTTTTGCACTCCAAACTTTTTATATTTAGGAAGAAATATACATTTATAAGAAGTGCACAATAAGTTTTTTGGAGTGCCAATAACAGTTGCTTTACAATATGGCTAATATTTTTATTACTGCTGTAACTTTTTATTTGTTTTGATCGAAATTACTCCTATAGTTTATAGTTATTCATTGGCATTATTGTTGTTGCACAAAGAAGAAAATAACATCAATATATGTACATGTCTAAGAGCATCTCCAAATGAGAAGTCAAAAAGTCCACATCAACAATAACAGTAAAAAAACAGACAACTTCAGTGTTTTCCAACCAAAATGTCAATTCCTATGTAGATTGAACCAAAGTTGGTTGTAGTCAAATTTGATAGCAACATGAAATCTACTTTTAGTGACTAATAAATGTTTATTATCATTTTTATTATTATTTTTGTTCTATAAATACTTATTACAATTATAAAAATAAATGATGAATAGTTAATAGTTTAAATTTAACACATCGGTTGGAAAACAAAATTTTTAAAAATATCAAAGTGCCAAATAAGCTTTCAAATTTAGATTTTCTATTTAACATTTGACATCTACTTTGAATATGATCTAAGTGTCTGAAATTTGAATACCCAGTTTTCGACAACAAAAATCAGAAAAAATAAAATAAAAATCAAACCTTATTTATATCATTGTTATACATGGAAGCCTCTTACAAGCGCGGCCTACCTTTAATGAAACGGAATAGAATTCTCTCCTCTCGTAATCTCTTTTTTCTCATATTTAAACGGTTACAATTTAGTCATATTATCATTTTATATTGATTTTTTTATAAAGAGGTAAGACAAAAAAGAAAATGTAAGAGGAGGGGAGAGAATGAGAGAGAATTAAAAATACACTCGGACAAATGAATAAAAGACATTTTATCAAAGTAGTATCTAAAATTAGCATAATTACTCAAGTCGGTCTTAAGATTTAAAATCGATAGAAATGATTCATAAATTTGTCCACTGTCAATTATTTTGGATCTTCCATGAAAAACCTACGTTGAATTAGGGATATTTTTGTCACATCAACCCCTTATTTGAATCGATGGTTTCTTCAATTTAACGAAGATGTTTTTACAAAATAACCAAAATGATTGACATCAAACAATTTCTTAAACCACTTATGTTGATTTTAAATCACATGGACTAAAAAGTAAAGAGTTGTGTCAGTCTTATGGATCATTTTGGCTAAAATGTCTGAATAGAATTATCCATTTTTGTCAACAAAAAACAGAGCAATGATATTCAATAGAACTAACAATTTCACAAGGAAAAAAAAAAAGAAAAAGAATTTTTATTACAGTTGATTCATTTGAGCAAAGCTGAACAATGTAAAACTTGATTTGGTTTAAAAGACCAAAACCCAACTCTCCAGATTAGGATAAAAATTCCAATTTGTCCTTATTGGGACTAAATTTCACCAAAATTTCACCGAACAAAAAAAAGAGTAAACTTCTCCTCTGCTTCTTTAGCCACCAAAAGTTTACTTAAAACCCCATTTACATGCCATGCATTGTGATTAACACCCACACAAAGAAACAAAAATATATTCATACATTCATCAAGAAATTAAAACCCAGAAAGACTAAGAGAGGAGAGAGAGAGAGAGAAAAAGAGAGTGAGTGAGGCTAACCATGTGAAAGAATACTTGTGAGGCGGGAACTGAAACGAGTCATCGATTATGAGCATGTGAATGTGGGGCTGGTATCTGCAGCCGAACGCAGGAGCCTTCGAAGGAAAATACAGATTCAGTCTCCATTTGGGGGACTTAGACGACCCAGATTCTTGAGCCATTGAAACCCAAATGGCATTACCACAAGACCAAATGGGATTTCGGTGGAGAACGGGAGGTGGGTTTTGGGGGAAACGGGATTTTGATCTCTTTGAAACCAAAGATTGAAGCTTTGTGAGAGAGTAATTAATGGGGTTTTGGGGTTTTTGTGAGAGGTTTTACGCGGTGGAAGATGGAGAGGCCTCTCCCCCTCTCTCCTCTGTTGTTTATAATGTAAATAGGGAGTGAGAGGGACTGCTTGTTATTGTGTCTTACCGCTATTTTTTGTCTGCAACAAATTATGAAAGAAAAATGACAGTAAAGGAAAAAATTATTTATTTTAGTATTGTAAAATCAAGAAATAATTTTCTTTTTTGTCTTAAAATAAATTAGTTGAACTCTGAAATGAAAAAGAAAATAAATTTGTTTATTTAAGGAAAAATGATAATTTTTTACTTTCGTGAGCCAAAATTTTCTTCGTTGAAGTTACTTTTTTGAGTCGAATTATTTTTTTTTTTTTTATATTCTAATAATCTTACATGTTTTTCATTGTAGTTATTTCTTAAGTCGAATTTGATTTATTCGTGTTTTTCACTGTACAAATAATCTAAAGTGCTCTTCGTTGTAGATACCTGAAAGGAATTTCCAACCATAATTTCCTAGCTAGGTTATGGGATGACAATTAAATGAATCGTAGAAATTTATATTTAGAAAACAATCTAGCATAGTATTCTTCTAGGCTAAGTTATTACCATGTGATGAATTTTTTGGCCAATATAAAAGAGTTTACAATTGTGTAGTAGTATGTATTCTTCGTTGTACGTACTCACTGAGTTGAATGTTCTAAACAAAATTTATTAGTATATCTAGATGTACAAAAAATATTTTACACGTAGTTTCATGTATATATTTTGTTTGTTGTAGTTACTAGATACATCCAATTTTTGACAAAATAATTTTTGGTATCGCTCTACCTACGTCGCATGTGATACAATGTAAGGTTATGAACCGGTATTTTGAGATCATCGGTTTTGGCTTTTAGATTGTTGGTGGTCGCTATATTTCTGGCAGACTGGTTGTGAGGTTAAGTATTAGTAAATTTTTTTTTTTTTTACTTTGTTTATAAATGTTGCATAAAGAAATCCTTGCTCATGTGCATAAGCAGCATCTTGTTGTATATTAAGACATTTTTTAAATAAAATGAATCCCCAATTTCTTTTAATTTATCTACAAAACTTGGTTTATACGGATAATTGCGGCTCTACTGCCCCCGGTTTATAGGAAGGGTAATACTACAGCAACCAAAATTTTAAACTAAATAATTTGTCACTAATAAAAAAATAAGCATGTTAATTAACGCTTAAGGAATAATTTAATCATTAACGAACATATTATTTAATTTACAAATTTAATTTTAAAATTTTGATTTATATAGAATACGTCCAGATTGACCTGAATTGATTCGTTCAGATGACGTGGCTACGACACTTGCAATGAGCGGGATCCCAAAACTATTTAAAACTCAAAATTTCAATTCAAAATAAACACACAAAAACAGTGAAGCAGGATTCGATCGAGAGAGAGCTATGGAGGGTGCAGGAGGAGAGACCCAAACCAAAAACGGAGGCGGCGGAGTTGTGAGATCGGACGTCGCAATTCGCAGTGCAAAAGCCGCTCTTCTTCTCTCGTCGCTAAAATCATCGCCCAATCGCCGCTTCAGCACCGCAATCGACGACGACGACGAAATCGCCGTACGTATTCGTTTAATTTCTAGCTCATCACTGCTTAATTTGGTATTAATAACTGAATAATCTTAATTTTGATCGGAATTTGAAATTTTGATATAGCAGGAGGAGAAGGAGATGCTGAAGAAGGAGATCGGAGATCTGAAGGTAACGGTTGCGAGGGAGCGACTCAGGAACAAGAGGATTAAGGTCTGTGGCTTGCTCGAGATTCTTCTTCAGCTGGCGTTGCTCTTTGCAATTTCCGCTTTCCTTTTCATGCTCGTGATTGAAGATGGAGAATCATAATTACTCTTTCCTCTCTGAAAAAGTGAAGTCGCAGCAGAAAACGAGTAAATAATTAGAGGCGGGAACAGCTGATTAGTCTTAATTTTTCATTAATTTGTTGAATTTTTAGTTTCTTTTGGTTTGTTAATGGAACTGATTGCACCTTATAGTGAGAAAGTTTTACTATTATTTTCTTCTTGATGGTTCTTATCGGGTTTAAATTTCATATATAATAAAGTCAAATCATGTATTTCTCGTGAGGATAGCAATTTATGAAGTACAAGTATAATGCTACTATGGTTTGTCATGTCCATAATATAATGTAACCTTTTAGTTTACATGAAATTATATTATTGTCGTGCCATGTTATTTTGCTGTGTGAGTCACATTACTATAACAAGGTTAAAAGGGGAAAGAAAGATAAGCAAATTTCATTAGCACTTGTCTAGTGATATTAGTTTGGTCTTGTAAATGAGAAGTTGGCTGAATCCGATTATAAAAAAGGTTGTAAGAATTTAAGTTATGAAGCTACTTAATGCAAGTATGATTTATACAATTTCTGACAATAACTGATAGGAAACACAATGCAAGTACTAGGAAATATCACTTCTCGTTGCCTTTTATTGACCAAATGTTGGAAAGACTGGTTGGCGTGCTTTTTATTGCTTCTCAAACGAGTATGCAAGGTACAATCAAATTCCAATTGCACCCGTGAGGATCAAGAGAAAACGACTTTCACTTGTCCTTTTGGAACATTTGCATTTTTTAGGGATACATTTGATCATTGTTTTTAGAAATTGTCGTTAGCTCTTGAATGAGGAGATGAATTTGGTGTTAAATTGGGAAAAGTGTCACTTCATGGTCAAGCAGGGTATTGGTTTGGGGCACTTGGTTTCAAGCAAAGGCATTGAAGTTGACAAGGCAATGATTGATGTTATAGCCAAATTGCCTCCCCTACCACTATGAAGAGTGTACATCGTTTCTTGGACATACTGGTTTTTACAGACGGTTTATCAATGATTTCTCCAAGATTAGTCGACCTTTATGCAATCTGTTGGCTAAGGACACCCCATTTAATTTTGCTGAAAATTGTTTAGAGGCATTCAACAAGTTGAAGACACTCTTAACTTCAACTCCTATCATTGCCGCACCTAACTGGAATTTTCCCTTTGAGTTGATATGGTTCAAACTATTCAATTGGAGCAGTTCTTGGGTAGAGGAAAAACAAGCTTCTGCAAGTGATCTACCACGCCACTAAAACATTAAATGATGCACAGTTGAACTATGCAACCATGAAGAATGAATTATTGGCAGTTGTATTTGCATTGGAAAAGTTTCAATCTTACTTGGTTGGGGCTAAATTTTTGTCAATACTGATCATGCCGCCTTAAAGTACTCGTTATCTAAGAAGGATGCTAAGCCATGGTTCATTCATTCGTTTCTGCTTTTGCAAGAATTTGATTTAGAAATTCTAGACAAAAGAGGCAGCGAGAACGTTGTGGCTGATCACTTGTCGAGGTTAGTTACTACCAACACAGCATAAGAAAACTTGCTTTTGTTGAATGAGAGCTTCCTAGATGAACTCTAAGCCACTCAAAGTAGTACTCCTTAGTTCTCCGACATTGGTAATTATTTAGCGAGGAGGGTGTTGCAACTAGATTTGACTTTCTAGCAGAAGAAAAAGTACTTGGCGGCTATGAAACATTGTTTTTAGGATGAGCCTTGCTTATACAAGTATTGCGTAGACCAATTATTTGAAGACGCATTATAGAAGAGAAGCAAGAAAGTGTTTTGACATTCGCGTATCAACATGCTTATGGAGGACACTTTGGGCCGAACGAACAGCAGCGAAGATATTGTAAAATGGGTGTATTGACCATCTCTTTTTAAGGATGCATACACCTGGTGCCAGGCTTGTGAATGATGCCAGCGAGTTGGAAATCAGTCCAAGCGGAATGAAATGCCGCAACAAAGCATATTGATAGTTGAGCTATTTGATATTTGGGGGATTGACTTTACGGGAGCATTCCCATCATCCAATGGGAATCAATATATCAATATATTTGGGGTATTTACCCAATCTGCATCTGTAAACCTGTGGGTACTCTTGTGGAAGAAAAGCATCACTTGGGTATTTACCCAAATTAGGTTCCTGTTGATAAGGGTCGATATCAAAGATTTATGGACATATTAACTTATTTATTTCATACTCGTCCTGAACTTGCATATGATGTGAGAGTTGTGAGTCAGTTTATGCACTCACCCAGTGAAGATCACATGGCTACGTAAATGCAAATTTTGGCATATCTGAAGTCTGCATCTGGTAAGGGAATACTTTATGGAAAACATGGAAATCTAAAGGTTGAGAAGTTTATAGATGCATATTGGGTTGGCAATGTTATTGACAGACGTTCTACATCTGGGTGTTTTATAGTTGTTAGAGATAATTTGGTTATGTAGCGTAGTAAAAAGCAGAAAGTGGTGTCAAGGTTTGCTGCTAAAGCTGATTATAGAGGCATGGCACAAGGAATATTTGAACTCCTTTGGTTACGTAAACTTTTGAGATGTCTTGGTTTTGAACCAGATGAGGCTATGAAGTTGTATTGTGATAATAAATCTGCAAGGGAGATAGCAGATAATCCGGTACAAAATGATCGAACAAAGCATGTAGAGGTTCATCAACACTTTGTCAAGGAAAATCTTGAAATGAAGATTGTGCTTATACCATTTGTGAATTTAGAGGAGCAAATGACTGATCTTACTCATGAGGTAAGTAGTACAGTTTTTTAGGACTTAAGTATCAAGTTGGGCATGTATGTTATCTATGCATCAACATGAGGAAGACTGTCGATTTGAGTCTTAAATTGTAAATATTCTAGGAGTCCTTTTTGAGGTAGGATTAGGATTTGTAATCTCTTGTATTGTATCCTTGTAATTATATTCCTTGTAATAATAAGGCTTATATGCCTATATATTGTAAACCCTAGAGGATGAATAAAGTAACAAAGTATTTTAATGTATTTCTTCTTTTACTTGGCGCAAAACGAAATAACAGGGTTTTGGAGAATTTATCATTGGAGTAGATTCACGAGATTTCAACATTTAATTCCAGGTGAATTAATTTAGGCCCAATGCGCAGTGCTAGCAAATTGACGTTCCAGGTTTAATTGTGATTTTTGAAAGAGGATGTCGTTTTCTGGAGTTGGGCCCTTCTACAAAGTTGTAAAGGACATCCTGATCTTATAAATAAAATAAAATAAAATAAAAAAAAATAGAGACCTTTTGGAGCTAGTTTTGGAGCTGGTTTGGCTCAAAAACGTGAAGGATTTCCGATTGGGCAGATTGCCTAGTTAGATTATGATTGTGATTTTAAGATATCATTTTATTATTTTGTTTCTTAATCTCTAGAATACCTTATTTAGGTAGGATTATGAATAAGGGGCTATTTATAAGCAGCCAGTCGCCCATTAGAGTTTTTTACGCAACATTGAGAGAACTCGGCGAAACTCTGACGATTTGCAAACTTCAAACTACAAGGGTGTTTTTCTTATACTTAATTCTAATAATATATCCTTTGACTTTTATTATGAATATGCATAACTAATTCCGTTTGCTAGGACAAGACCACGAGCCTTGGCATGAATATGTGATTCATATCCAATTGCTTATGAATTTATGCACGCTTGCTTTGAATGATTAATCTATTATACTTAAGTTGTCTAATTATCTTAGTGATTGACCACCATTAAGCTAATTATATAAGTAATTTGATGCAATTTCAATTGGAACATCACCCTAATATGGAGGTGAGCTTCTTGTGGTTAATAATTGTAACTTCATGTAAGGTGAACATCACGCTCTTAAGGGTTGCATGTTTTTCACCCAACTTAATGAGTTTTTCATGTTTATATTTGATATGAACATCATGTACGAATTGCATGTTAGACATAAATTTTCGCTTGAACATCATGAGGAAAATATGTATTAGGAAAACCTAACATTCAAAGCATGTATATGGAAATTCAAGAGTAATTGGTTGAATTGCATAGAATTGCTTAGAATTGCAAAGCACTGTTAATGGTTATGGCTAAACCCTAGTTTTTTTCACAAGTGATTTGTTAAAATGTGTTTTAGTATTTTCTGTTTTTGCCAAATTGTCTTTTAGTTTTAAATTGTTTATGGGTTGTTTTATTAACACCCCACGTATTGAAAACATCCCACGTTTACTTTTTAAATTAAAAATTATCTTAATCCACCCCACGTAATTTCTTACACTACCCTTACACCCCACAAGAAAATAATAAAGGTGGTTGCTGCCTTGCTGGGAGATTTATCCAGTGTTAGAAAGAAGTGCTTTTGTTTGTCCAATTCTGGGAAATAAAATGCGCCTAGCTTCTAGTGTACTGATATCAATGTTCTAAAAAAAGGGTCTAGGCGGCGCCTAGACCCTGGACGGTGGTGAGCTGAGACGTTTTCTTGCAAATCGGTGGAAAAAATCGGATGGGCTCTTGGCGGCTAGTTGGAGCTAGGCGGTTTTTTTTTTTTTAATGAAATTGAAAAATAAAATAAAAAAATCCTATCTAAGTCTTAGTGGTTTAAAATTGTGAACTTGTTGTACATATGTCATCCTACAATAATCCTCACTATGGTTATATAGCATTTATGCTTAATGTGTTTTTAAATTTTGGACTTCTTGGATACTCTTTTTGCATTTTATCATTTTTTTTATTATCTTATCCATGGCCGCCACCCGACTAACGCCTAGCGTTTTTTAAAACTTTGACTGATATATAATTTAGCTATTTTTGTTTGGTTCTTGCGCTGGTCTGTGACTTATCCTCGTACATTTTCATCCTATTTTGCTCTGGGATTTCAAACTTCAGCTAGCTTTTCTCTTCCTTAAGTCTCTCCTTTCAACCGGAAAAAATGAGAAATGAAACTCTCTTTCAAACATTCTTAACTGCCTAATGGAATCAGTTTCTGATTCATAATAAATGATTATGCATGTATCAACATCAATATATTTCCCTTACGAAAAATCTCATGGGTTCCTTGCAGCATTTGCAATTGCAATCGCGATTACACCCCTAGCTTATGAAAATCATCTTTTAAAAAAGTGAGATCAGAATTTGCAGAAATGTTTTCAAATTTGAACTCTTAGACTGCAACACAAAAACAAGAAGAAGCTCAACATGTTCTTGAATTATTATTAGGTTTTGCTGTTAAAAGAACTTAGGGAGTGTACTATTTAGGGCTTAAATAGTCATTTTATATCAAGA